GAGTTATTGAATTGCATCAAGTCGCTCATATCTTTCAACTCACAAGAGTTTAGGGCGAACAGGAAACCATGAACTTGACGTTAAATTGAATGCGCAAGTAAAGTATAATCACTCGTTGTCAAAAAAGGATATCACCACTAACACCATTTCGAATGTCACTCGGAATGGCTAGATTTCTTTGAAACTAGCCTTGGAAGAGTTTATGGTCCGTATCAAATAGGAAGATTGCTGGATTTTGTGTTAATGTAGCAATGACACGTGTGGACATCAGGTCGTCTTCGACCGCTTCTATACATGCGAGGTATACGACCAAGGTTATTCTGGTCATTTAAAACCGGAGTGGAAATAAAATGCCACGGCTCGTATGGGAGTGTGTTGATTTGTGTCTTTAAACAGTCCAAGATCGCTGTAAAAAAGCCAATTTATGAAATTCATCACAAATCTTCCTCTGGCAAGAAAAAGAAAAGCATCGTAGATAGTCGATAGCCCTTTCATATCATAGTAAAGTACTGATTTACTGTATACTTTTGTCGTGCCACACTAGTTGCCTCGACGGCATGCAAGGGGAAGAGCAGTTGCTATACGAAGCGTAGAACCTAGATATGCTTTACTGTCAATGAAAAATCCGAAATCTCGATATAAACCATCTTGTACTACTCGGATGGAAGGTCAGCTATGCTTCATGCACGATAAGGTCCCATAAAACTGGCATTTTAAAGGTAAAATGCAATGTCCTGGCTGATTAAAATTGAGTATTTAGTTACAAGAGTGGGTGAAAAATAATAAAAATAACGAATGATACTATTTCTCAAGTGTATTCATCCTAGTTCATTTAAGGTGATAACATGTAATTGAATTTTGCCACAATTATTTAAAAGACCTAACGTGTCCATTCAATTTTAAATGGTCTTGCTTTTCAAAAAGCTATTCTAATCCAGAGCGGACTGCAGATTCAAACTAGTCGAGGCCTCATCAACACCCCCAGCAGGACTCGAACCATGACAGTGCAACGTCAAACCCTGACACTCTAAACACTACACCACATTACCACGAGTGTCCTTGGGTCACAAAGCAGAGGTGAATTTAAAGGAAGGCCAGGCATTTTCTTATATCACATTATGTGGTGGGATTGCCGAGGAGGCAAAGCTAAATTGGCTAAGGCAATCATCTACATTACCTGCTTATAAATGGAAAATAAGTAATATAGTTGATTTTTATTGCAGATACAGCCTTGCTGCGCCTGTCTTTCCACCACAGAATGTGATATGGTAAAATGCCTGGCCTTCCCTGAAATTCACATCTGCTTTGTGACCCAAGGGTACTCGTGGCAATGTGGTGTAGTAGTTAGAGTTTCAAGGTTTGACGTTGCACTGTCATGGTTCGAGTCCCGCTGGGGGTGCTGATTAGACCTCGGCGAGTTCGAAACTGCAGTCTAATCTGGATGAGAATATTCTTTGGAAGGGCAAACAGGGCGAAATTCAACGGGGCCGTTTGGTCTACTCATATCATTGTGGGAAATTTAAACTAAATTTAAACTAAATTTAAACTAATCACTTAAATCAACTAGGTTGAATATTTTTTTAATATATGTGATCTACTAGTAGTCTCGAAAGCCTACTTACAAACGAAAATGAGTCACCCTTTAAGTAATTGCGCATACACAACACACTTATATATTTTAGATGTTTTTGGAAATATATTTATAATTGACTTTATAAAAATGTTAATTTTGCGTATTTAGTCCACTTTTTCCGAATATCAACCAGCTTGCCTTTAGAAGGCAGAGACAAGAGCACCATGTTGCCCTCGTCTTATATTCTTACTCTTTTAGAACGACAAAAAATGGACTCCCGAATGTTGCCTTTAAGTTAGTGGCTAAGATGTGGTATCGTTACATACCGAAATTCCATTTCACGAAGCGAATCAGAATCTAGCGATCACTCACATGGAGCATTCGGAGAGTAAGGAGGGTTTGAGTCCAACCAAGGTTTCAGTTCTTGTGGGCTTCATTTTTTCTGAGGCCTATTCTATTGGCTATTGTGGTCTCTACTCGGCTGTTATGTTTAATGCCACAAACAATGATGTTACTGATGCCGGTAATGAGTATGATTTTTATAGTGGCCATGCGGTAAAGGTTATAGTATGATTATATCTGACCGAGGTAATAACACTGCTGTGATAGAAATGTTTTTTTCCGTGACGATGGCCCTGGAGCTTACAGTGGGTGTGCTTTGGCCAAAATTAGCGACTGCCACA